ATGAGCATATGTAAGACACCGTGTGGCGCCAAACATTGTTTGACGAGAGCGGCTGTCAAAATCATGACAGCGTTGCTAAGTTACGCCACGCATGCGCGACAGAAATAACGTCCTACATCGGCAGAGTCTATTTTTCTCTTTCAACCAAAACTTGTATCAAAAACCGAAGCTAAATGTCATACTCGTGACATTTATGAGATGTGAACTCAAATTTTGTATTTTGATCTGCACAGTAATATGGATGGGAATAAAAAAGTTTTGTTAGAGAGATGCAGAATCTGTGGCTGTAGCGTCACAAACGATAACAGGAAATGTCCAGTTGAAATTGAGACCGCATGGTCAATGAACGTGTCCTTGGATTCACCAAACATTCATCCGAGGCTTCTTTGTGTATTAAAAATGTCGCTTGATATCCCTAAAAGAAAAGCATGAGTTTGACATGAAAAAAAGATACAGCACAACAGTTGTTCCAATCGAGTGGAAGCCTCATGCTACTTTTGAAGATTGACAAGATCTTCGAAAAACCGGGACCTACTGTTTGGCTCTATATTAGACAAATACTGGACCTTTTTAAAGAAATTATTAGATTTCCACGAAAATTTGATTAAAAATTGCTCTTACATTCGTTTGCAGCACTTAAATAAACCTTAAGAACCGTAAAAGTACTCGAGATATCGTTCACTTGTACTCGTCCGGTCGTCGAAGCAAGTAAGCTTGGCACGTTCCACCAACGTCTGGTGGCCCCTGTCCCATTTTCTCCGCGGCAATACAACCTGTGATTACGAAACTTGGCAGGGATATAGTCACGTGCCCTGTTAGTCACCCCAACGATTTTGGGTGTATGACGTCACATATCACGTGACTTGCTAAGATAACATTATCGCCAGTTTTTGAAATAAACCTTTTTTGACGTTATTGCACTACCAAAGTCTTTGTATGCCAACGCTGATGGTAAATCAACCCCCCTGGCAGCGTGACGTCACAGATCACGTGACCTATAAGTAGCGTCTTATGGCTAAACCATGACGATAAACCGTCCATAAAACTACTTACAAAGACACAAGATAGAAATTGAACATTTCTCATGCCGTATCATCAGAAAAAATCTGTTAACATTTGGTCAGCTACGATTTCAAGCTCACGCCCCCTCATGTGAGCCCATACAAATTATGTCTCAAAAACACGGTTTTTGGATATTTTCTCAAAATAATGACTATCTAGGCAAAAAACAGAAGTGGATTCAGTTAATTCAACTATTCACGGACTGTATTATATGGTTTAGATTGAATTCTATTGAAAAAAAC